CCATCCTCCATGCTACTGTCACTGGGTCATCTCCTCGGTGATTTCCTCCACCTCATCTTCTGCCATCTCCAAGCCACCAGTGTCCAACAGGCTTCTGATACTTTGCAAACTCATTTGTTTATTCACCAATTCAGAGCCCACCTTGTTTTCAGCACCGAGCTAGTCTCTCCTTGCTAGAAACTTATGGTCAAAGGTCTCTAGCCATCAGAAGAAGCACGTGGAGTGCCCTATGTTGTGGTTATTCCTCCAGCATGCATTGAATAAGGGTTTCTCCTGTGCCTGGCATCATGCATTGAATGGGGAGATGGGGGTTGACATGCACACTGGGGACTTAGGTGCTCTCCCTTATAGAGCAGGGAGGGAGGCAGGAGAGGAGAGGAGAAGAGAGGAGAGGCAGAAGCAGGGAAGGTGTTGCAGGGAACATATCTCAGAAGTGCCATTTTTTTTTTTTTTTTTTGAGATGGAATCTTGCTCTATCACCCAGTCTGCAGTGTACTGGTGCAATCTTAGCTCACTGCAGCCTCCGCCTTCCAGGTTCAAGCAGTTCTCATGCCTCAGCCCCCAAGTACCTGGAACCACAGGCACACACTACCATACCTGGAAAATGTTTTGTATTTTTAGTAGAGACAGAGTTTTGCCATGTTGCCCAGGCTGGTCTTGAACTCCTGGCCTCAAGTGATCCACCCACCTCAGCCTCCCAGAGTGCTGGGATTACAGGCTTGAGGCACTACACCCAGCCTAGAAGTGCCATCTGAACTGAACCTGAAAGATGAAAGTTCTCCAGATAAACCTGAAAGTTCTCCAAATGAAAAGGTGGGAGAGGGTGATAGGGTTAGACCCAGAGCTGCTGGTCACACAGGGTGGGCATCATTGGTCACACTGGTGATGAGGTAGGAGCTATAACCATGTTGATAGTGTCACCGCTGCCCATCTGTCCTGGCAAACTCTAAGCCCTCCATGCCCACCTCTGGAACACATCAGCCCTGAGAGCCCAGCTCAGGCCTTCCTCCTCCAGCCCACCCACTCCTAATTATCCACACCCCTGTGCTTCCACTGTGCCTGGAACAAGCTTTCTTTAGGGAAGGGAGCTAGAACTATGTTGTTGTTACCTATTTGTTCTCTCTTCCAAACTGTGAGCCTTGGAGGTAGAAGGATGATGCAGGGTCTAGCCCAGGATGAAGGCAGTTGGATAGACATACGTGTTTGTGACTCACAGTGATCTCGAACTTCCATTTTTTTTCCCATCTGTAACACTTGAGTTGAATAGGTAGTTTTTCTGAGGTTACTTCAACTCTTAAAATGTATGAACTTACAAACTAGGTATTTAGTTCTCATAATCAAGACTGTGTGTGGCAGGGGTCTGATTAGAGGGAGGATGAGGAAGGGGGTATGGTTTTGGGTTTTTGTTTTGTTGGTTTTTTTGAGATGGAGTCTCACTCTGTCACCCAGGCTAGAGTGCAGTGGCGTGATCTCAGCTTACTGCAACCTCTACCTCCTGGGTTCAAGTAATTCTCTTGTCTCAGCCTCCCGAGTAGCTGGGATTTCAGGCACCTGCCACCATGCCCAGCTAATATTTGTATTTTTAGTAGAGATGGAGTTTTGCCATGTTGGCCGGGCTGGTCTCAATCTCTTGACCTCAAGTGATCCATCTACCTTGGCCTCTCAAAGTGCTGGGATTACAGGAGTGAGCCACCGTGCCCGGCCTGCCCCTCAGTCTTTTCCTTCTGAATCAGTGGCACCACCATCTTCCCAGGCTTTGGAAATGGTCCCTGACTCACCTCTGCCCCTCACCCCCACACCAATCCACCAGGGAGTTCTGTTGCTTCACCACCTAGACCAGCCCCAAATCCTCAACTGCTCCCACCCTAGGCCATGCCTGGACCAAAGCTGGAGGCCTCTCATGGATTCTCCCTGTTTTTCTCTTGCACTCCCTGGGCTTTCTGGCACAAGATACCCCAGAACCAGAATCACATGTCTCTCCTAGGAGCCAATTCGGTGGGTTTACTGCCCCTGGAGTGTCATTGTTGGCCTTAGAATATGTCCCACTGCAGGTTTCCAGAGCAATGTAGTCAAAAGTTACTTGAAATAAATATTTGCTCTGTGGTATCGACAATTTGGTATAGAATTAAACTTGTTTGGCTCAGCGTAACGGCTCACACCTGTAATCCCAGCACTTTGGGAGGCCAAGGCGGGTGGATCACAAGGTCGGGACAAGGAAGACCAGCTTGGCCAAGATGGTGAAACCCTGTCTCTACCAAAAATACAAAAATTAGCTGGGTGTGGTGGCAGGCGCCTGTAATCCCAGCTACTCAGGAAGCTGAGGCAGGAGAATCACTTGAACCTGGGGGGCGGACGTTGCAGTGAGCTGAGCAAGACTCTGTCTCAAAAAAAAAAAAGGAGACAGAGTCTCACTCTGTCACTCAGGCTGGAGTGCGGTGATGTAGCTATGGTTCTCTGCAGCCTCAGACTCCGGGCTCAAATAATACTTCTGCCTCAGTCTCCCAAAATGCTGAGATTGTAGGCTGAAGCCACCATGTCTGGCCCAAGCTCATTTGTTTCTATTTGCATTCAGTGTAATGAGGTTTTGTTACTTTTTGAATTTTATTTGGGATAATATAAACTTTTACATGATTCAGAAGTCACAATGACACTGATTCAGCTAGGTCTCACTCCTGTGCCTGTACCCTCAACTTGTTCCCACTGCCCCATCCAGGGAGCCAGTTTCATTAGTTCTTGGTATGTCCTTCCCTAATCTCCCTTTCTTACCTAAAATCGCTCCATCACAGTGTTTGGAGCTCTTGTTTAGTCCATTTGGAGCTGGACAGTACTCCAGTGTGTGGGTGCACCATAGTTTATTCAATAAGTTCCCTGGTGATAGGGATCTGAGGGATTGTAGCCTTTGGCTGGTAAAAATAATGCTGTAGCAAATAATATCATGCATATGTTCTTTGAGATTTTTGGAGGTGTCTCTAGCATAGATTTCTAGAAAGCATTCCTTAGGTCACATTTAGGTTTATACTTTGACCTCATGGTGATTAGGGTATTCGGGAATGCAAATGAGAGTTTCGAAGAAGCCAGATCTTTTCCAGTAGTTCACTGTTTTTCTCTGACATCAGGACCGTCCAGGTTCCAAGGAGCAGCTGTGGCATTAGGCAGTGCCATGATGGATTGTGTGGAAGTACTGATTCCCGTCTGTCTGCTCTGTTGGCCCACTCTGCCGGTGGCTCCCCTTCTCTCCCTCCTTTATGGGGAACTGCCTAGGGGGCCATTCTCAGAGGCTGATCTTGGATGGGCCACAGGCCACACCTAGCTCCCCAGGGTTCTTTATCATTTCACATTGAGAGCTCTGTACTGGAACAGATTAGGGACCTCCACTTTACAATAAGTAAGACTGCTCTGTGGGTTGTAGGATGCCTCTTAATATGCAGTGACTCGGCAGCCACGCCTTGGCCCCTAAACTGCTGGAGGAAGTTACAGTTTGGGAGAAACTCAGGGGTGAGTTACAGTGGGGACAAGACATTCCCTCACTCTAAGACCTTGTCACTAGATTGGAGCTGCTCTTGCCTCCCTACACCTGACCTAACGGTTCTGGAGAGGTATGTCCTTGTAGCTTCTGACTCCCAGTGCCAACCAGCCTTCAGTAATTTCCCTACATCATTTGAGTCCTGGTTTCCCAAGGATGCTTGCCAGTGTGTGCCGTGGTGCCCTCACTGAACAGTCTGTGCAGTGTAGACAAGAGGGGGAGTCTCTTCGGGTAGACCAGCCACAAGACGGTGACCAGCACTGATGAACCACGTGGGACAGGGGAATTGTGGGGCTGAGAACCTGGAGCGCAGGATAGTCAGGCTCTTTTCCAGAATGAACTGCTAATGAAGGGACTCGCAGGTGGCTGCTGCTTTCCAAGCTGCCCCTGTTGTTGCTGAGACTCTGAAGTCCTAGGAGGTTTCATGGTGGCATACTAGACAGGTTAGTAAAGCATCATGGCCAGACACTGATTCTGGGGCCTGGGGCCTCACGGTGGCCATTTCTGAAGAGACCCTACCAGGCCAAAGTGATGTGCAGAGAAGGGAGCTGCTTCTGTCACCAGAAAAGAATGGGGAGGACTCCCATCCTAGAATAGGAAGGGTGCTCTTCTGCACCAGCAGGAACGGGACACATGGCTCTACCTGGACCACCCCTTTTTCCTTGCTCTTCCCTCTGCATCTGCTGTGGCTGAGGCTATTCCTTGTCAGGGAATGTCTTGTGTTAAAGGCTCACGCCACCTGGGAGCACTTCTCTTATCACCCCAGAACCTGGGTGGCAGTTTCTTGTGACCTGAGTTAGCCATTATTTTTATAGTGCCATTGTACCTTTTCTCCCATGATGCTCACACTAAGGATGCCCAGATGGGTTTACCCATTGTCAAGATAAGGAAACGGAGGCACAGAAGGCTGAGGTCATTTGCTGGGGTTCATGTTTGGAAACTGGCAAAGGATTTGAGTGCAGTTTGGCTCCAAACCTGTGCTTTCCGTAACACTATGGTGTGCCTCATTGAGGATTTATTCTAGAAAACCAAAAAGACGCCCAAGCCCTGGCCTTCACAAAGGAGACCCCCACCCCCATTTGACTCCCTTTCCAGCATTTGACAGTCTCTTGTCAGGCATCGAGCCCAGAGGCCTGTGAGGTGCGACTCATGCTGGGGTGGGATGCTCAGGAGCCACGCAGTGATTCTGCTCAGAGGAAAGGGCTCCGACTCTTCTGCAATGCCAGGAGTGAAACTTGCAGGTGGCCACAGTGCAGGTCGGCCACGCCGGCCAGCACCACCAGGGCCCAAGTTCCTAAAGAAATATTTGGGTCCCAGCTTGGCCTGAGGCCCTGTTGTCCTGGAGAAGGACATCAAGATCTGAGTGTATGATGGACCAGGGCCTTGCATGTGGTGAGCGTCCAAGCCTGCCACTGCTCATTTGTTCTGCAGACTAGCATGTTCTTTGTGATACTTACATACTTGTTTAACACTTCAGGGAAGAAAAGTCAGAAGACCAGGATCTCCAGGGCCTCAAGGACAAGCCCCTCAAGTTCAAAAAGGTGAAGAAAGATAAGAAAGAAGACAAAGAGGGCAAGCATGAGCCCGTGCAGCCATCAGCGCACCACTCTGCCGAGCCCGCAGAGGCAGGCAAAGCGGAGACGTCAGAAGGGTCAGGCTCCGCCCCAGCCGTGCCAGAAGCTTCTGCCTCCCCCAAACAGCGGCGCTCCATCATCCGTGACCGGGGACCCATGTATGATGACCCCACCCTACCTGAAGGCTGGACACGGAAGCTTAAGCAAAGGAAATCTGGCCGCTCTGCTGGGAAGTATGATGTGTATTTGATTAAGTAAGTAAGAGCAACTCCTGTCTCTACAGGGCAGGGAGGGCAGAGACGGGGATCTCTCATGGAGCAGGAAAATGTAGTGCCTAACCCCACAACGGGGGTGGGGGGACCATAAACAGTGAACACCAAGAGCAGGTATGCTTGAAATGACTGTGTGCAGAGGTCAATGTCCTCTATCCTCTCCGCGCCTCGAGTTCTTATCTGGAGATGGAATAGCTGCAGAAGCAGAGGAACTTGCAGAGCCAGGGGTTCTGAGGAGGAGTGAAGAAGCATATTTCTGTTGTGCCCCTTAAATGATCCCAAAAAGGTTAGCAGTTTTCACATGACATTGGCAGATAGCCTCATTTAATTCCATAACCCTGAGAAGAGTGAGCAAAGGATTATCTTGTTGAAACTGATTCCCAGAGAGTTTGAGCACCATACCCGAGTTCAGAATTAGGAATGTTCTAGATGGTGACTCAGGCCCAGGAATGTTCCAGATGGTGACTCAGGCCCAGGCACCAAGCAGCAGAATGGGCCTCAGTCCAACAGCCCCTCTGTACCAGGCCTGACTCTTTGGTTGCTGGACTTTGGAGAGGCCTGGGGAGTCAGGGGCAGGGAGATGAGTGAGTGTCTTTGGTGACAGACAGATCCTCAGGGGCAGCTAGGCAGTGTGATTCTTGTTCAATAGTAACATTTATCAGAGCGTTGTCACCACCATCCGCTCTGCCCTATCTCTGACATTGCCATGGGGAACCTCTAATTGTTTTTTGTGTCTTTCCATTTGTCCTCACAGTCCCCAGGGAAAAGCCTTTCGCTCTAAAGTGGAATTGATTGCATACTTCGAAAAGGTAGGCGACACATCCCTGGACCCTAATGATTTTGACTTCACGGTAACTGGGAGAGGGAGCCCCTCCCGGCGAGAGCAGAAACCACCTAAGAAGCCCAAATCTCCCAAAGCTCCAGGAACTGGCAGAGGCCGGGGACGCCCCAAAGGGAGCGGCACAACGAGACCCAAGGCGGCCACGTCAGAGGGTGTGCAGGTGAAAAGGGTCCTGGAGAAAAGCCCTGGGAAGCTCCTCGTCAAGATGCCTTTCCAAACTTCGCCAGGGGGCAAGGCTGAGGGGGGTGGGGCCACCACATCCACCCAGGTTATGGTGATCAAACGCCCTGGCAGGAAGCGAAAAGCCGAGGCCGACCCTCAGGCCATTCCCAAGAAACGGGGCCGAAAGCCAGGGAGTGTGGTGGCAGCCGCTGCTGCCGAGGCCAAAAAGAAAGCCGTGAAGGAGTCTTCTATCCGATCTGTGCAGGAGACCGTACTCCCCATCAAGAAGCGCAAGACCCGGGAGACGGTCAGCATCGAGGTCAAGGAAGTGGTGAAGCCCCTGCTGGTGTCCACCCTCGGTGAGAAGAGTGGGAAGGGACTGAAGACCTGTAAGAGCCCAGGGCGGAAAAGCAAGGAGAGCAGCCCCAAGGGGCGCAGCAGCAGCGCCTCCTCGCCCCCCAAGAAGGAGCACCACCACCATCACCACCACTCAGAGTCCCCAAAGGCCCCCGTGCCACTGCTCCCACCCCTGCCCCCACCCCCACCTGAGCCCGAGAGCTCCGAGGACCCCACCAGCCCCCCTGAGCCCCAGGACTTGAGCAGCAGCGTCTGCAAAGAGGAGAAGATGCCCAGAGGAGGCTCGCTGGAGAGCGACGGCTGCCCCAAGGAGCCAGCTAAGACTCAGCCCGCGGTCGCTACCGCCGCCACGGCCGCAGAAAAGTACAAACACCGAGGGGAGGGAGAGCGCAAAGACATTGTTTCATCCTCCATGCCAAGGCCAAACAGAGAGGAGCCTGTGGACAGCCGGACGCCCGTGACCGAGAGAGTTAGCTGACTTTACGCAGAGCGGATTGCAAAGCAAACCAACAAGAATAAAGGCAGCTGTTGTCTCTTCTCCTTATGGGTAGGGCTCTGACAAAGCTTCCCGATTAACTGAAATAAAAAATATTTTTTTTTCTTTCAGTAAACTTAGAGTTTCGTGGCTTCAGGGTGGGAGTAGTTGGAGCATTGGGGATGTTTTTCTTACCGACAAGCACAGTCAGGTTGAAGACCTAACCAGGGCCGGAAGTAGCTTTGCACTTTTCTAAACTAGGCTCCTTCAACAAGGCTTGCTGCAGATACTACTGACCAGACAAGCTGTTGACCAGGCACCTCCCTTCCTGCCCAAACCTTTCCCCCATGTGGTCGTTAGAGACAGTTGAGAGGACACTCCCTTTTTCGGTGCCATCAGTGCTCTGTCTACAGCTCCCCCAGCTCCCCCCACCTCCCCCACTCCCAACCATGTTGGGACAGGGAGGTGTGAGGCAGGAGAGACAGTTGGCTTGTTTAGAGAAGATGGCTATGATCACTGGCTATGGCCCATGCGATCCCACCTGTGGTGGCTCAAGTCTGGCCCCACACCAGCCCCAATCCAAAACTGGCAAGGACACTTCACAGGAAAGGAAAGTGGTACCTGTCTGCTCCAGCTCTGGCATGGCTAGGAGGGAGTCATCCCTTGAACTACTAGGTGTAGACTAGCCTAAACCACAGGAGAGGATGGCCCAGGGTGAGGTGGCATCGTCCATTCTCAAGGGACGTCCTCCAGTGGGTAGCGCTAGAGAGGCCATGGAGGCAGTAGGACAAGGTGCGGGCAGGCTGGCCCGGGTCGGGCCAGGCCGAGCACAGCGGGCTGAGAGAGATTCCTAATCTCTCAGAGCAGTCTGTGACTCGTAGTTAGGGACTTAGTGGACAGGGGAGGGGCAAGGAGTGAGGAGAAGAAAATGTTTCAGTTACTTTCCAATTCTACCCCTTTAGGGACAGCTTAGAATTATTTGCACTATTGAATCTTCATGTTCCCACTTCAAAACAAACAGATGCTCTGAGAGCAAACTGGCTTGAATTGGTGACATTTGGTCCCTCAAGCCACCAGATGTGACGGTGTTGAGAACTACCTGGATTTGTATATATACCTGCGCTTGTTTTAAAGTGGGCTCAGCACATAGGGTTCCCACGAAGCTCCGAAACTCTAAGTGTTTGCTGCAATTTTATAAGGACTTCCTGATTGGTTTCTCTTCTCCCCTTCCATTTCTGCCTTTTGTTCATTTCATCCTTTCACTTCTTTCCCTTCCTCCTCCTAGTTCATTCCTTCTGTTCCAGGCAGCCGTGGTGCCCAACCACACTTGTCGGCTCCAGTCCCTAGAACTCTGCCTGCCCTTTGTCTTCCTGCTGCCAGTACCAGCCCCACCCTGTTTTGAGCCCTAAGGAGGCCTTGGGCTCCACCGAGTCCAACCTGGCCTGTCTATGAAGAGCAAGAGAGCAGCAAGGTGTTGCTCTCCTAGGTAGCCCCCACTTCCCTGGTAAGAAAAAGCAAAAGGCATTTCCCACCCTGAACAATGAGCCTTTTCATCCTTCTACTCTAGATAAGTGGACTGGAGGAGCTGGGCCGGATTTGGTAGCTGAGGAAAGTGCAGAGGCCCCCTATGGCCTACCAGTCATCGAGTAGCCCAACAAGGGCTCCATGCCACCCGACCTTGACCTCACTCAGAAGTCCAGAGTCTAGTGTAGTATACAGCGCAGCAGCAGCGGTGCTGATGCAGAACTTTCGATACCAGAGCTGGAACCAGCACCTAGGTCCCCGTCCCTTCTCTGCTCCCCTTTTCCCTTGGAGTTCTTTTCTAATGGAAGTGTTTTGCTTTTGCTTAATGCAGTGGGGCCGGAACAGCACACATTTCACTCTGGTCCATAGGCGTGGTGCAGGGTTTAGAGGCGTGGGCTTGCTGTGGGTTTTTAATTGACTAGTTTTCATTTGGGATCCCATCTTTTTAACCTCTGTTCAGGAAGTCCTTATCTAGCTGCATATCTTCATCATATTGGTATATCCTTTTCTGTGTTTACAGAGATGTCTCTCATATCTAAATCTGTCCAACTGAGAAGTACCTTATCAAAGCAGCAAATGAGACAGAAACACCCACGGGCATGTCCCATGTGAGCTGCTGCCATGAACTGTCAAGTGCGTGTTGTCTTGTGTATTTCAGTTACTGTCCCCTGGCTTCCTTACTGCGGTGTAATCATGAAGGAGTGAAACACCATAGAAACTGTCTAGCACTTCCTTGCCAGTCTGTAGTGATCAGGAACCATAGTTGACAGTTCCAATCAGTAGCTTAAGAAAAAAAATGTGTTTGTCCCTTCTGGAATGGCTAGAAGTGAGGGAGTTTGCCCCATTCTGTTTGTAGAGTCTCAAAGTTGGACTTTTGAGCATTTATGTATCCATTTCCTTATGCTGTAAAACAAGTCCTGCAACCAAACTCCCATCAGCCCAATCCCTGATCCCTGATCCCTTCCACCTGCTCTGCTGCCCACTCCCCCACACAGCTTCACTTCTGACTCTTCCCCAGGAAGGGAAGAGGAGTCAGAGGAGAGGGTGAGTCCTCTAGACTCTTCCTCCAAGGACAAAAGGCTCCTGCCCCCACAGTGGCCTCGCACTCCTGGCACCACCAAAGGACACTTATCCACAAGAGCGCAGCATCCAACCAGGTTGTCACTGAGATGTTTATTTTGGTCAGTTGGCTATTTATGCATTATTCTTAGTCCAATGCAATATGGCTTCTGGACTCAGTGTCAGGAGCTGCTTCCCCATCAGCTGGGTGTCATCTGGTCCTGGTAAGAGGAGTGTGGGGCCCACCAGGCCCTCCTGTCACCTATGACAGTTCATTCAGGGCCAATTGGGCAGTCATGGTTGGAAACAGCATTTCAAGTGTCACTTACTTTCATTCGGGCCCCACCTACAGCTCCCTCACTCCCCAGCTTCTTTCCCTTCAAGTTTGTTCCAGAGCTGCCAGAGGGGCCTGAGGCTCCTTAGGGTTTTCTCTCTGTTTCCCCCTTTCTTCCTCGTTCCCTCTTCTTTCCCTTTCAGCAGACTGCCTTGGTGGTCTAACACCCTGGCAGGCAGGGGCCCTGCAGCTCCCACGCTGCCCCTGCCTTGGGGTCAGGTTGACAGGCGGTTGGAGGGAAAGCCTTAAGCTGCAGGATTCTCACCAGCTGTGTCCGGCCCAGTTTTGGGGTGTGACCTCAATTTTGTCTGTACTTGAACACTATGAAGATGGGGGCCTCTTTTGATGAATTTGTGAAAATAGAAGAATTGACCGACAGCTTTCCAGTACCCATGGGGCTAGGTCATTAATGTCAGACCCACAGTCTCCCCCACTCTTGTTCCAGTTGTTAGTTACTACCTCCTCTCCTGACAATACTGTATGTCCTCGAGCTCCCCCAGGTCTACCCCTCCCAGCCCTGCCTGGTGGCGGGCTTGTCATAGCCGGTGGGATCGCCAGCCTTGACAGCTCAGTGAGCTGGAGATACTTGGTCACGGCACTAGCACAGCTCCCTTCTGCTGATGATGTATTCCCGTATCAAAAGGCACAGGGGACACCCAGAAATGCCACATCCCCCAGTCCATCAATACCAAACTAGCCAAGGGCCCCAGCCTCTCAGCTCACTGGATGGCAGAAGCTGCGACTCGTGAGAGCCGATGCAGGTGCAGACAATCGTCTGTTGGGTGGCATTATTCGAGGCCTGAGGCATGAACAGTGCGCCTGGGACAGGGAGCAGCCCCTAATTGTCACATGCTTCTCTGTCCAGCTTTTCATTGCTGTGACAGTGATGGCAAAAGAGTAATAACCAGACACAAACTGCCAAGTTTGGTGGAGAAAGGAGTTTCTTTAGCTGACAGTACCTCTGAATGTTGAATCACTAAGCAGCTCAAGCCCAGGAGGGAGCAAAAGGATATCAGCGGAGTCCCCTGGGTGGGACCATCTGGATTTCGTTTAGCCCAAGTGGAGCCTGACAGCCAGAACTCTGTAACCCCTCTAACCACAGCTCCTTTTCCAGAGCATTCCAGTCAGTTACTCTGGGCTGACTGGGCCAGGGAGGTCACAGGTACCAGTTCTTTGAGAAGACTGTTGGGATCCATTTTTAGCCTGTCATTGCCCCAAATGGATTCCTGTTTCAAGTTCACACCTGCAGATTCTAGGACCCATGTCCTAGACTTCAGGGAGTGAGCTGTTTCTAGAGCCCCTGCCCTGGAGGGGTTCTGGAGGACCTGCCCAGTGGGGGACAGAGCCCTGCTCCCTCCATGTCTTCCTGCTCTTCTCTCTGCTCTGCTCTGAAGGGATTTATTTGTTCTCTGCATTTTGGTGTCTTTCTCTTTTAGATATTCTATCAGTCTTCAGAAAAGGCATGGTCTACTTGTTACAAATCGCTAGGATACTGCCTCCTCCAGGGTCTATAATTACATATTAGAGGGGAAAAGCTGAACACTGAAGTCAGTTCTCAACAATTTAGAAGGAAAACCTAGAAAACATTTGGCAGAAAGTTACATTTCAATTTTTTTCAATGAATTAAGAACAAGCTTTTACAAAAATGCTGATCTAAAAATACTTAGCACTTGACCTGAGATGTCTGGTGAGCATTACAGACAAGGGGGATCTGAGGAGGTGGAAACGGGGCTCCCTGAGACTCTGGACCATTTTGTCATTGAGTAGCAGACATGAGGACATGAAAGGTGGAGCGTTCACTGGTGACCCCGAAGGCCCAGCACCACCCTACTTCTGCTCTTTTCATCTTGACAGAGCCTGCCCCGGCGCTGATGTGTTAGGAAAACACCCAGGGAACTAGGAAGGCACTTCTGCCTGAGGGGCAGCTTGCCCTGCCCACTCCTGCTCTGCTCCCCTCAGATCGCAGGCCTTGGCAAAGTGGCTGCATGGTGGGCGCCCTGGTGCTCCCTTCTGAGCTGGCCTCTCACTGCCTCCCCAAGGCCCCCTGCCCGCCCTGTCAGGAGGCAGAGGGAGGCACATGTGAGGGCAGTGCAAGGAGGAAGCACCGCCCCCCTCACTCTCCAGGCCATGACCTTGCACAGGCAGAGCCCAGACCCTGGAGGAAATCCTACTTTTGAATTCAAGAACATTTGGGGAACTTGGAAATCTCTTTGTCCCCAACCCCCCATTCTGTCCTACCTTTGATCAGGTCCTGCTCAGCAGTGAGAGCAGATGAGGTGAAAAGGCCAAGAGGTTTGGCTCCTGCCCACTGATAGCCCCTCCCTGCAGCGTTTGTGTGTCAAGTGGCAAAGCTGTTCTTCCTGGTGACCCTGATTATATCCAGTAACGTATAGACTGTGCGCATAGGCCTGCTTTGTCTCTTCTATCCTGGGCTTTTGTTTTGCTTTTTAGTTTTGCTTTTAGTTTTTCTGTCCCTTTTATTTATGCACCGACTAGACACACAAAGCAGTGGAATTTTTATATATATATCTGTATATTGCACAATTATCAACTCATTTTGCTTGTGGCTCCACACACAAAAAAAGACCTGTTAAAATTATACCTGTTGCTTAATTACAATATTCTGATAACCATAGCATAGGACAAGGGAAAATAAAAAAAAAAAGAAAAAAATGACAAATCTGTCTGCTGGTCACTTCTTCTGTCCAAGCAGATTCGTGGTCTTTCCTCGCTTCTTTCAAGGGCTTCCCTGTGCCAGGCGAAGGAGGCTCCAGGCAACACCCAGGTTTTGCACTCTGTTTCTCCCATGCTTGTGAAAGAGGTCCCAAGGTTCTGGGTGCAGGAGCACTCCCTTGGCCTGCTGAAGTCTGGAACGTAGTCGGCACAGCCTGGTCCCCTTCCACCTGTGGGAGCTGGAGTCCACTGGGGTGGCCTGACTTCCCAGTCCCATTCCAGTGACCTGGTGAGGGTGAGCCCGTGTGGAGAGTCCGCCTCACAGGCTTTCCCCGCCATTAGGGCCCGGTGTGTTTCACCCTTCCCACTCTGTCGACCCTGGGGCCTGGAGCAGAGACGGGAGGCCTGGCCTGTCTCTGAACCTGTGAGCTGCACCAGGTAGAACGCCAGCGACCCCAGAATCACATGCGTGAGTCCAGTGGGTCCCTTCCAGGAAGTAGTGAAGACTCCAGAAATATCCCTTTCTTCTCCCCCATCCTACGAGTAATTGCATTTGCTTTTGTAATTCTTAATGAGCAATATCTGCTAGAGAGTTTAGCTGTAACAGTTCTTTTTGATCATCTTTTTTTAAGTAATTTGAAACACCAAAAAAATCAGAAACTTGTTCTTCCAAAGCAGAGAGCATTATAATCACCAGGGCCAAAAGCTTCCCTCCCTGCTGTCATTGCTTCTTCTGAGGCCTGAATCCAAAAGAAAAACAGCAGTAGGCTCTTTCAGTGGCCGGGCTACCCACTGGGCCCCTCGGAGGACTAGGGCTGTGGCAGCCTCTGGGCCCACATCCAGGGCCTGCTCCGGCGTGTGCTCAGTGTTAGCAGTGGGTCACGATGCTCTTTCCCACCCAGCCTGGGATGGGGCAGAGGAGGCCGTTGCCGCTGATGTTTGGCCATGAACAGGTGGGTGTCTGCATGCGTCCACGAGCGTGCTTTCTGACTGACATGAAATCGACGCCTGAGTTAGCCTCACCTGGTGACCTCTAGCCCTGCCCGGATGGAGCAGGGCCCACCCGGTTCAGTGTTTCTGGGGAGCTGGACAGTGGAGTGCAAAAGGCTTGCAGAACTTGAAGCCTGCTCCTTCCCTTGCTACCACGGCCTCCTTTCCGTTTGATTTATCACTGCTTCAATCAATAACAGCCGCTCCAGAGTCAGTAGTCGATGAATATATGACCAAATATCACCAGGACTGTTAGTCAATGTGTGCCGAGCCCTTGCTGTGCTGGGCTCCCGTGTATCTGGACACTAACGTGTGCTGTGTTTGCTCTCCTTCCCCTTCCTTCTTTGCCCTTTCCTTGTCTTTCTGGGGTTTTTCTGTTTGGGTTTGGTTTGGTTTTTATTTCTCCTTTTGTGTTCCAAACATGAGGTTCTCTCTACTGGTCCTCTTAACTGTGGTGTTGAGGCTTATATTTGTGTAATTTTGGGTGGGTGAAAGGAACTTTGCTAAGTAAATCTCTTCTGTGTTTGAACTGAAGTCTGTATTGTAACTATGTTTAAAGTAATTGTTCCAGAGACAAATACTTCTAGACACTTTTCCTTTACAAGCAAAAGCATTCTGAGGGAGGGGGTGGTGGCTGAAATGAGAGCAGAGAGCCCAGCTCAGCGAGAACCCACCCAAAGCAGTGGAGCCCGGGAGTCCCATGCCAAGCCAGCAAACTGAATAGCTGATGTGTTGCCACTTTCCAAGTCACAGCAAAACCAGGTTTTGTTCCACCTAGTGGATTCTTTTTTGCTTCCCCTCCCCCCACGATTATTACCACCATCCCGTACTTTTAAGGAAAGATAAGATTGATGTTTCCTTGATGGGAGCCAGGAGGGGATGTGTGCGGGGAGAATGGGGCTGGGCCTGCCCGAGCAGGAGGCTGTTGTTGGCAGACGTGTTTGGCCACTCCCCCCGATGCAGCTCTCCCCGGACAGGCCAGGTGGTGGCCATTCTCTCTCCAAAGTGTGCCCCATGGGCATTACTGTTTAAAACACTTCTGTCACACCCCACCCCATCCTCCAGGACACAACACTGTGACATCTCTATCCCCCCCTTCCCCTCCTGGGGCAATAAAATGGCCATGGAGGGGCTTGCTCTCTTGGCTGCCATCGATTTGGACAGCAAAATTTGGATGTGAGAAACCCCTTCCCATTCCATGGCAAAAACATCTCCTGAGAGAAGCCATCACCCTCATTAGACATGGTTTGCGGCTCCGGAAAAACCTGACCAGCCCCTCCCTCCCTCTGAGAGGTGGAGACAGTGCTGACTGTAGTGACCATTGCGTGCTGGGTTCGGCATCTGAAAGAGCCAGGCAGGGTGTCTGCCCCTCCTAAGTTGAAGTCATGCTCCCCTGTGCCAGTCTGGAGGCCGAGAGCTGTGGACAGCATTGCCAGTGACACAGGCCACCTTGTGCAGAAGGGAGCTGGCTCCAGCCGGGAAACCTGTCTGAGGCACGGGGAGAAGCCAGGATAGACTTAGCTGGAGATGTCTCTAAAAGCCCTGTATCTATCCACCTTCAGTTTTTGTGTTTTGGGACAATTACTTTAGAAAATAAGTAGGTCGTTTTAAAAACAAAAATTATTGATTGCTTTTTTGTAGTGTTCAGAAAAAAAGGTTCTTTGTGTATAGCCAAATGACTGAAAGCACTGATATATTTAAAAACAAAAGGCAATTTATTAAGGAAATTTGTACCATTTCAGTAAACCTGTCTGAATGTACCTGTATACGTTTCAAAAACACCCCCCACTGAATCCCTGTAACCTATTTATTATATAAAGAGTTTGCCTTATAAATTTACATAAAAATGTCCGTTTGTGTCTTTTGTTGTAAAATCAAGTGATTTTTCATAAGGTTCTTTTACTATTGGAAAAGATGGGCAGCACGCAGTTTTATTTTATTTTTGTAAGATTTTTAATACATGTGAAAGCAAAGAATACTCAGCATGCCTTTCTAAGTGACGCGTTTGCACCTTTTGTTGGGAAGTACTGTATCCTGTGCTGTTAGCATTCTCGATAAATCTCTCTGTGAAAGTGACTCAAGGTCTGGGCTTTCATTATAAGACAGAAGTCCCCCTCCAGCTCACATGACAGTGTGATGCTGCATTTCCTCATTGGATCTGGCCGTCCCTGGACACAGATAACTGCCTTCAGGCCTGCCATGAGAGGCCGAGGGACCCTGCTTCATATGCTGGCCTCTCGGCCCCTCAACTTCTTCCACACCAGTGCTTTCCAGGCACACTGCTGCAGCGTGTGACGGGAAGGGCCTAGCATGAGTCAGCCTGCAGCACGACCTCCCTGCTCTTGACCCATATGGTAGGGGCACCCCTAGGTCTGAATGTGCTGTGGTGCTTTTGGACATACGTACCCCACAGGTGGTAGCTCCTCCTGTGTCATTCCTGCCAAGACCCTCACATGCCCTCCGCTGACTGCTAACCTGGTTCTCTGACCAGGCAAGGCCAGGCTGAGGGGATTGCCCAAAGGGGCCTCCTTGTCACTGGCTTCCTTGGCTCTCAGGAGTGGCCTCACTAGGTTGGTAAGGGGCTGGAGGAGACAACTGCTCAGAGTCCAGATTCACATGCACATGTGGGCACACCTACCAGAAGGTACCCTCTGAAGGCCTGGCCTTGAACAGTAGATCCCAGAGTTGAACATTCAACTTGTATGCATTGAGCATCTTGTGCGCCAGTCCTGTTCCAGGAGCTGACGGGCCTTCGTGTGTAAGACCAAGTCCCTCCGTGGAGGTTAGCATGGGTGTGCGTGGTCAGTTCAGATACTTGATTTGCTGCATCTCATAAAGCCTGTCCCCAATGAGAAGCCACGGGGTTTAGGGTATGGTTGTCATCTTGAGTGGGGCCACCATGGTGGTGGCTTTTGGGAAGACTCCAACAGGGGCCAGCTGTGGGCCTTGGGCAGACTTCGTTTCTAGGAAAAGTTCTAAGTGTGTAAGGCTAGGGGTGGGGAACCCCTTCGCTGTCAAGATCAAGACGGCAACAGGAACTGTCGCTGGAGGAGACATCCAGCTGCAGAAACAAGAGTAAAGTCTGCCTTTCTGCTTGTGGAGACCGGGGGGTGGCAGTCTAGACAGGTCCTCGAGGACGATGCCCAGGAAACCTTCACCACAGCTGCTTGCGCTCACCCTTGCAAATGAGGGACAGGGCAGCAACGTGTGGCCAGAAGCCGCCGTTTGTCCTCCAGAGCCCCGCCCGGGCGCGCCCGGCCTCGCGCCGATCGCCGCGCGTGGAACGCGCTGGGACCTGGGCCCTCTCCGGCGCGGGGGGGCCCTCTCCGGTGCGGGGCGCCCCCGTGTGGTCGAGCGAGCGGCCGCAGCGTGCAAGATGGCGGCGGGCCCGGGCACCGCCTCTTCCGCCCCGCCGGGCGTCCCACGAGGCCGGCTCGAAGGGGAAGTGAGTCAGTGTCCGCGGACCCGGCCGGCCCAGGCCCGCGCCTGCCGCGGCCCTGAGAGGCCCCGACAGGCCCCGGCCCGGCGGCGGCGGCGGCCATGGCCGGGGGGCCGGGCCCGGGAGAGCCCGCAGCCCCCGGCGCCCAGCACTTCTTGTACGAGGTGCCGCCCTGGGTCATGTGCCGCTTCTACAAAGTGATGGACGCCCTGGAGCCCGCCGACTGGTGCCAGTTCGGTGGGTGGCCGCGGGCGGCCGCGGGGAGCGGGGGGCGCGCGGGCTCCCGGCGCCGACGCCTGACGCCCCCCGCCCCGCAGCCGCCCTGATCGTGCGCGACCAGACCGAGCTGCGGCTGTGCGAGCGCTCCGGGCAGCGCACGGCCAGCGTCCTGTGGCCCTGGATCAACCGCAACGCCCGTGTGGCCGACCTCGTGCACATCCTCACGCACCTGCAGCTGCTCCGCGCGCGGGACATCATCACAGCCTGTGAGCGCGGGACTCCGGGCACCCCACGGCTGGGGGACCGGCGATTCCCACGGGGCTGCCCCACCCGGGCCTCAACGTTCCTTTCCTAACTTGGCGTCGCAGGGCACCCTCCCGCCCCGCTTCCATCCCCAAGCACCACTGCCCCGAGGCCCAGCTGCATCCCTGCACCCGCCGAGACAGAGGCCTGTAGTCCCCGGAAGTTGCCGTCCTCAGCCTCCACCCTCCTCTCCCCAGGTAAGAGGGCCAGGTTGTTGGACTCGATGGACCCGAAGAAGGGCCCACCTTGACTGCCACGGCTGTAGACCCCGCTGCTGCTCTCTGCCTGCCTCTCACTGGTGTCTTTATGAAGCTTTTCCAGGTTCCCAAACCCATTCAGGGCCTGAACTCGGCCTGGTCCCCAGCCCTGCTTCCCTGCGGTCTCCACTGCCATCTCCAGCCCCTTCCTCTACCAAGGTAGGTGTCCCCTGCCCTCCAGGGAAGATTCGAGGCAAGGAGGAAGAAACTCAGCCTTTGGCACACCGCAGCCCCAGTCAGCCAAGCTGGGTCAGCTGGGAGGCAGCCGTGGTGGGGAGAGCCTGCAGCCTTGGGCAGAAGGGAGGATACAGGGACCCTACCTGATCCAGGCTCTCTTCCCACAGCCAGAGAGCTCAGAGAGCTCAGTGTCCCTCCTGCAGGGAGCCCACCCCTCTCCATTCTGCTGGCCTCTCTGTGAGATATCCCAGGGCACCCACGACTTCTCAGAGGAGCTCAAGATCGGGGAGGGTGGCTTTGGGTGCGTGTACCGGGCGGTGATGAGGAACACAGTGTATGCTGTGAAGAGGCTGAAGGAGGTGAGTGTCGCACCCTGGCAGGGACCCTGGAAGGCCATCAGACAACCCTCACTGACTTCTCCAGCCTTTCCCCTGGCCTCGCCACAGGTCCTTTCAGCCCTCATTCCAGCACAGGGTCCCTAGCCCCTCCGATGTTCTGGGCCTGGGGCAAGTGGCATTGGAGGCCCAAAGGCCTTCACTTAGCCTCACGCCACCCGTCTTCCCTGCCCCTCCCCCACCGCACCCTGGGGGCTGCAGGATGCAGGCCTGGAGTGGAGTGCGGTGAAGCAGAGCTTCCTGACTGAGGTGGAGCAGCTGTCCAGGTGAGGCCAGATCAGGAGCCGCACCAGGTCCTGTGGGGCTCCAGACTGCACATCACAGCACCTTGCTCCCTTGGGCGCCTGAGGCCCCATGCGGGGCTGCCCGGTCTGGCATCTTCCGTAAGGCTCCTCTTCTTCAAACAGGTTTCGTCACCCGAACATTGTGGACTTTGCCGGCTACTGTGCTCAGAATGGCTTCTACTGCCTGGTGTATGGCTTCCTGCCCAACGGCTCCCTGGAGGACCGTCTCCACTGCCAGGTCGGCTCCCTGGGCCTGGTGCGCTTCCCAGGACCTGAAGCACTCCTGACACCTGGCTGGAGCTGGGCACAGGGCCTGGGGCTTTTTGTTTGTGTGAGCGGGTCCTCCAGCAGGCCGGGCCTGCACTGCCAGCTCCCCACAGCAGGGTCACTTTTTCTCTTGTTTTGGAGACAGAGTCTCACTCTGTCGCCCAGGCTGGAGTGCAGTGGCGCGATCTCAGCTCACTACAACCTCCATCTCCCGGGTTCAATCAATCCTCCTACCTCAGTCTCCCAAGTAGCTAGGACTACAGGCACGCACCACCATGCCTGGCTAATTTTTGTATTTTTAGTAGAGACAGAGTTTTGCCATGTTGGCCAGGCTGGTCTTCAACTCCTGACCTCAGGTAGTCCACCTGCCTCAGCCTCCCAACGTGCTGGGATTACACGCGTGAGCCACCTTGCCTGGCTGGGACTACCGTTTTCTATAGAACTCTTTCCCAGGTCTCTCGAGTTCGCAAGCAGGGCAGCCTGAGGGTCTCGTTGGTAAGCCCCAGAGGCAAGGGGGCTGGGGCTGTCAGCTGGACCCCCCACTGCTGAGGGAGGGCCCTGCGGGCACACAGAGGGGAGAGCCCCCTTGCCTCTTCCAGCTTGCTGTGTTTGGGGAGAGTGGGGAGATGCCTTCGAGGACTTCCCAATCACCCAGGGACAAAGGGATGAGTCCTGGGAGCCACAGCCCAGCAGATTCTATCTCGAATGCCAAGAACATGTCCCTAGCCACTGCCCGGCCTTGAGTGCTTTGCCAAGCAGCCAGGGTGGCTTAGTCTGCACGTGCTTAAGAAGTGCAAGTCATGGAGATTTTGCTCCTTGTCTCCCAGGAGGAGACAGGCCTAGAGAGTCAAGTGGCTCATTCCAGGCTGCACAGTGACAGGCAGAAGGATGGTTGGGATCAAGAACAGCCACCCAGCCACCTCCTTCCCCCTTTGCCACCCCAGACCCAGGCCTGCCCACCTCTCTCCTGGCCTCAGCGACTGGACATCCTTCTGGGTACAGCACGGGCAATTCAGTTTCTACATCAGGACAGCCCCAGCCTCATCCATGGAGACATCAAGAGGTGAGGAGGGGCCTGCAGCCACAGGAGCCCCGACCCATCAATGTGGGGGTCAGGCATGGCCTGGGACCGCAACACCCTGGCATAGCACAGGTGTGGGAATAGGCCAAGGATGGGCCATGCTGATGAGCATTCAGGGCAATGCCAGCGCTTTCTGTGAACAAGGCACTGGGCTGGCTCAGCCTCACCTGAGCTGGGCAGGTGTAGGAGCTAGGCCTGGGCTAATGCCACTCTTTTCCTTCCACAAGTTCCAACGTCCTTCTGGATGAGAGGCTGACACCCAAGCTGGGAGACTTTGGCCTGGCCCGGTTCAGCCGCTTTGCGGGGGCCAGCCCCAGCCAGAGCAGCACGGTGGCCCGGACGCGGACGGTGCAGGGCACCCTGGCCTACCTACCTGAGGAGTACATCAAGACAGGAAGGCTGTCTGTGGACACGGACACCTTCAGCTTCGGGGTGGTGAGCCACTGACCCCTCTGCTGGCTCAGAGAGAGAAACCACAGGCAGGCAGAGGCGGGGGCTGCAGAGCATACTGCGGGCCGGGGGGCCATCTGCCAAGACCCCAGGAGGCTGCAGCTCTAAGCCCCCTCCCTCCGAGGTTCTCCTCACCCTGCACCTAACTATGTTTGCAATTCCTCTTCGAGGGGGCCCTCCAAGTCGCCTGTGATTCAGTCCTGTAATATCTGGCTCTGTCCTCATGTGCCCGCCTCAGGGCCGAACTCTGTCAGCCCCATCCATGTCCACACCAGAGGCCTCTTCCCTGCCCAGGCGCAGGGCAACAAGATCCCAGAAGCCACTGCCATGCCCTCCCTCTTCCCTTTCTCCAGGTAGTCCTAGAGACCCTGGCTGGCCAGAGAGCTGTGAAGATGCACGGGGCCAGGACCAAGTATCTGGTGAGCTCCTGAGGCAGGCCAGGCGGGAGGCACAGCTGCTGGCAGGCTGCAGTCGCAGCCCTGGGCGTGGGGATGGTCAGAGCGCAGTACCCAGGGGACGCCTCTGCTGCCGCAGTGGCCTCATTTTTTAAAGTGGGCAGGGCCCCAAACAACTTCCTTTACCTGTCTGTCCTGCAGACACCATGGGCCTTGTACAGACCCCACCTGGGCTGGGGGTCGGGGGAGGGGTGGTCCCAGGGCACAGGGACCAGGGCTGCTGCGGAACTCAGAGCACTCAGGCCGGAGAAAGGCGGTGGTAAAGAAAGGGCAAGCCCCGAGGAGCCTCCCAGGCCCCGCAGGCTGCAGTCGAGCTCTCCGAGTGTGCAGGTCCACTCAAACTGCCCGTGCCCCTCCTCCACTCTGTCTGCCTCACTGTGGACTGTGGCTGGACTGTGGCAGGGCCAGGAGACTGAGACCTAGGTTTTAGCCCCGGCTTGACAGTGCCTTTGAGCAAATTCCTGCTCCCCTCTGGGTCTGTTTTCCCAGATGCAAACAGACTTCACTGCTTCTCCTCCTGTTTGGGGCTGTTCCTGTGTGCTTTGGGGTCTGCGTTGGGATTCAGCCCTGTTGAGAACCCAGGAGCCAGGCTGGAGCCCTCCTTCTTTCCCCTCCGAGTCCATCCATGCATCCTGCTGAAGAAACGGACCGCGCTCCTTGGGGGTCCTTGGACTTCCCCACTTTTTTTTGACATGGAGTTTTGCTCTTGTGCCCCAGGCTGGAGAGCACTGGTGCAATCTCGACTCACTGCAACCTCCGCCTCCCAGGTCCAAGCGATTCTCCTGCCTCAGCCTCCCAAGTAGCTGGGATTACAGGTACCTGCCACCACTCCCAGCTGATTTTTTGTATTTTTGGTGGGGATGGGGTTTCACCATGTTGGCCAGGGTGCTCTTGAACTCCTGACCTCGGTGATCTGCCCACGTTGGCCTCCCAGAGTGCTGGGATTGCAGGTGGGAGCCACTGCACCTGGCCCAGACTGCTTTTTTTTTTTTTTTTTTTAATTTGTATTTATTTTTTAAAAGACGGGGTTTCACCATGTTGGTCAGACTGGTCTTGTACTCCCAACCTCAGGTGATCCGCCCACCTTCACCTCCAAAGTGCTTGGATTACGGGCGAGAGCCACCGCGCCCGGTCTCAGACTGCTCTCTTCAAAGGCCTCTTTGCCTTTTCTCTGTTCTTGGGGTGAAGGCCCAATCCCTTATGTGGCTGACCCCACACCACCACAGGTCCCCTGAACTCAGGCACTCCACAGGCTTAGCGTGTGCCGCTCCCTCTGCAAGAAGAGCCACTCCCCACCCAGGTTCCTCCTAGTCTGTCCTATCTCAGAACTCAAGATGGTCTCCAGCCCTGTTTCCATCCCTGGGTGCAACTTCATGCCTTTGGATCCCAGCTCCCGGTCCAGTTCCTCAGGCCTCTACCCCACCAGAAAGTCAGCTCTGTATCCCTGGAGCCCAGAGGAGCCCTGGCCCACAGTGGGCATTTAACAAATCTCTAAAAACTAAGCCTGGCGTGGTGGTACGTACCTGTAGTCCCAGCTACTCAGGAGGCTGAGGCAGGAGAATCGCTTGAATACAGAAGGTCGAGGTTGCAGTGAGGTGAGATCATGCCACTGCACTCCAGCCTGGGTGGCAGAGCAAGACTGTCTCAAAAAAAGCTAGAAGCTGGGCACAGTGGTGCATGCCTGTAGTCCCAGCTACTCAACAATCTGAGGCAGGAGGATCACTTGAGCCTGGGAGTTGGAGACCAGTCTGAGCAACATAGCAAGATAGGCATGGTGGCACATACTGTAGTCCCAGATGCTGAGGGGGCCAAGGTGGGAGGATCACTTGAGCCTGGGAGGTTGAGTCTGCACCACTGTACTCCAGCCTGGGTGACAGAATGAGACCCTGTGTCAAAAAAATAAGTTGCCGTGCACAGCGGCTCACACCTGTAATCCCGGCACTTTGGGAGGCTGAGACGTGAGGATCACTTGAGCCTGGTTGGAGACCAGCTAGGCCAACATAGCGAGACCCCCATCTCTCTCTTTTTATAAAAAAAAAATATATATATACCATACAATTGAGTGACAAGGACCTGAGGACGGCAGCTACAGGTTGCCCCCGCCGGTAGCCATGCTCACAGTATCTATCCCACAGAAAGATCTTGTGGAAGAGGAGGCTGAGGAAGCTGGAGTGGCCCTGAGAAGCACCCAGACCGCACTGCAAGCAGCTCTGGCTGCGGACGCTTGGGCCACGCCCATCGCCATCCAGATCTACAAGAAGCACCTGGACCCCAGGCCCGGGCCCTGCCCACCTGAGCTGGGCCTGGGTCTGGGCCGGCTGGCCTGCTGCTGCCTGCACCGCCGGGCCAAGAGGAGGCCTCCTATGACCCAGGTAGCCAGCTGCCCACTGGACGGGGTGGCCAGCCCGAAAGCCCGCATTCCAGGCCTGCTCTGTGGTGACCCCATCTCAGCACCTGCTAGGTCTTTCTCTGGAGTCTCCACACGTTTCTTGCTTGCCCTTTGGTTCTGAAGTGAGGGGCTGGGGGAGTCCTGCTTTGCCGAGCCCAGCTCTGACCCCACTTTACATCGAGAAGGAAAGAGCTTCTTCCGCGCCCCCTGCTGGGTACACTGTGCCACTGCCTCTTCTGCTCTGGTGACAGTTGGAAGTGGAGAGGACCTGTCTGAGAGCAGCAGGGCAGTGATTCACTTCTTAGTCTTTGCCTTTGGCAGCTGCGCTTCTCAGCACTCCCCGTGACAGGAACAGAGGGCCTAGGGGCAGAGTGTTCCCAGCTGCAGGGTGTGCCGGTCCAGAGCCCCGGGGCAGGTCACAGACAGTCTGTTCTCCACTTGCAGGTGTACGAGAGGCTGGAGAAGCTGCAGGCAGCGGTGGCAGGGCTGCCCAGGCAACCAGAGGCCGACAGCTGCGTCCCCCCTTCCCCGCAGGAGAACTCCTACGTGTCCAGCACTGGCAGTGCCCACAGTGGGGCTGCCCCATTGCAGCCCCTGGCAGCACCATCAGGAGCCAGCGCCCAGGCGGCAGAGCAGTTCCAGAGAGGCCCCAACCAGCCCGTGGAGAGCGACGAGAGCCTGTGTGGCCTCTCTGCCGCCCTGCGCTCCTGGCACTTGACTCCGAGCTGCCCTCTGGGCCCGGCACCCCTCAGGGAGGCCGGCTGTCCTCAGGGGGACACAGCAGGAGAATTGAGCTGGAGGAGTGGCCCAGGGTTCCGAACTGCAGCTACAGAAGGTAGCTGGGGAGACGGGTTCTCAGGAGAGGGACCTGGGCCTCCTTGGGCCAAAGCCCCTGTAGTTCCCACCCCAGCCTTCTAGAAGAAGAGAACCAGGGCCCCGGGTTCAGCTCACTGTGTCCTTGGCAAGCCTGGTTTCCCCTCCCTCCCGGCCATGTCATCCCCAGGTGGAGCTCACTCTTCAGCCCTCCCCCGCCCATTCCTGAAGGCCAGGAACAAGGCGGGCTCTGCCCTGGGACTTCTCTGAGGAATTCGGGCCTCAGGCCAGGGAGGCAGGGCGCTAGACTGGGGGCTGGGGAGGTGCGAGGCTAGGGGACACTATCTCCACCCCAGGACTGGCCCTGGGCAGCTCTGCATCGTCATCGGAGCCACCGCAGATTGTCATCAACCCTGCCCGACAGAAGATGGTCCAGAAGCTGGCCCTGTACGAGGATGGGGCCCTAGACAGCCTGCAGCTGCTGTCGTCCAGCTTTTTCCCAGGTGCTGCTGCCTTGGCTGGCCTCTGGGGGGTCAGGCACATCTGTGCCAGCTCCAAAGAGCAGAGTCTGTCCCTACTGCGCTGAGGGCTTGGGGCAGCCAGGCAGGCCACTGCCTCTGGTGATCTCTGGAAGCCCAGCCTGCCCCCCATGGCTCCCTTAGCAAGACCCTGGCACCTCCCTCTCCTGACAATAGCACCTCCCTTAGCCTGAGGGTGCCTGCCCCACTCTGCTTTTAGGAAATAGGAAGCCCCAGCAGGAATTTTCCATCCCAGGTACTATTTGAAGAGCCACTGCTTAAGAATCCTCAGCTGGGTGAGGTGGCTCATGCCTGTAATACCAACACTTTCGGAGGCCACCCTGGGAGGATCACTTGATCAAGGCAATTGTGAGCCGTGATCAAGCCACTGCACTCCAGCCTGGGAGGCAGAGCCAGACCGTCTCAAAAAAAACCCTCAATTCCCATGAGTGCTTGGGGAGATAAGGGAGCATGGCCCAGCCCTTGAGCCAGGGCTTCTGGCATGGGGGAGTCTTCCCCCACTTGCTAAGCGGACTTTCCTCTTCCTTCTATAGGCTTGGGCCTGGAACAGGACAGGCAGGGGCCTGAAGAAAGTGATGAATTTCAGAGCTGAACTATTCACCGGAAGTCAAAGTTCTCATGGTCAGAAGTTCTCATGGTGCGCAAGTCCTCAGCACTCTGCAGGCAGTGGGGGCGGGGGCCCTGCTCTTCTAGGGTCAGTGGGCACAGGCAGGCAGAGTGTAACCCTGCTTCTACACCAGCATCTCGGGGCAAGGAAGGCTGACATCATCCCGTGGAGAGTGGTGCATGCTGGGGAGGCTGCTGGCTGCACAGACCCACAAGGGGAGGAGAAGGGCTGCTGCACAGCGGTGTGCAGCAGGGAGCTGGCTCCCACAGGGCATCTGCAGCCCAGACCTCCGGCAGCAGCCCTTTGCCCATCTCTTTGGACTTCGCTGAAAGCCTGTGGCAGTGGCCACCCTGCACAGCAGAGCTGATGAGGCCTAGGGCCCTCCTACTGCTTACAATTTGGAAAAGTGCGGCCGGGTGCAGCGGCTCACGCCTGTAATCCTAGCACTTTGGGAGGCCAAGGCAGGAGGATCACTTGGGCCCAAGAGGTCAAGACCAGCCAGGCCAACATGATGAGACCCTGTCGCAACAAAAAAACTTTTTAAACAATTAGCCTGGCATGATAGCGCATGCCTGTGGTCCCGGTTACTGGGGAGGCTAAAGTGGGAGAATCATTTATGCTTGGAAGGTAGAGGCTGCAGCGAGTCATGATTGCATCACTGCACTCCAGCCTGGGTGAAAGAGCAAGACCCTGTTTCAAAAAGAAAAACACTGGCTCAGTCCCAGGGAGAAGTGAGAATTCTGAGATCCTCCAGAGAGCCGAGCAGCACCCACCCCTACTTCAGGCCAGTGGCTTCAGGCTCTATCGGGGACCTGTGAGCTGGCTTAATGTGAGCAGCACAGTTGAGCTCGAAGCCAGGTCAGGCTTCCGAGGCCACAAGCTCAGCCTCAGGCCCAGGCACTACCCAAAGGCCCAAGACCTACTTACCCAGAGAGTGAGAAGCCCAAGAAGGCAGAAAGTTGGGAGCATGGCAGAGAGGGAAGGGAAAGATTTCAGGGAAAAAAAATGTGTCACATGTCTTCAGAAGCAAGTTAGGTTTCATGTCACCGAGTGTCCTCTTGCACGTCCAAAAGTAGCCCAGGGCTGTAGCACAGGCTTAACAGTGATTGTGTGTTCAGCCATGAGTCACACTACGTGCCCCCGTGAAGCTGTCCTTGACTAATAAAAACGTATGTTGCAATCTCGGGCTCTGCTTGTGGACTCTGTTGCACCGAAAGCCTTGCAGGGTTTCTGAGTCCTCTTTCTAGTCCCAGACTGGTGACAGACCCAGTTTTGCACCTGGTGCTTCCCGTGGCGTTTTTCTCCTGATGTGTAGTTCATGCTTTTTATGCTATTCTAAATGGTATCTTTGGTTTTCTTTCTTTTTTTGGCCATAAAACAACCACCATAAAACTGTAATTCATCATGATATTTTACAGAAATGCAATTGATGCTGGGCGTGGTGGTTCACGCCTATAATCCTAGCTCTTTGGGAAGCTGAGGTGGGCAGATCACTTGAGCCCAGGAGTTTGAGAGCAGCCCGGGCAGTATGGCAAAACCCTGTCTCTACAAAAAGTACAATTAGCCAGGCGTGGTGGAGCACACCTGTAGTTCCAGGCTACTCAGGAGGCTCAGGTGGGAGGATCGATTGAGCCCAGGAGGTTGAGGCTGCAGTGAGCCATGATTCCACCACTGCATTCCAGCCTGGGCAACAGGGAGGCCCCGTCTATATATAAATAAATAAATACATAAATAAGCAGTAGGGTTTTGTGTATGGACCTTATATTCTGTGGCTTTGTTTAAATTCACTATTTTTGTGAGATGGAGTTTCACTCTTGTCGCCCAGGCTACAGTGCAATGATGTGACCCCTCAGCTAACTGAGGTTTAACTGATCCTCCTGCCTCAGCCTCTCTAGTAGCTGGGATAACAGGACCTGCCACCACGCCCAGGTAATTTTTTTTTTTGTATTTTAGTAGAGATGGGGTTTGATCATGTTGCCCAGGCTAGTCCCGCACTCTTGACCTCAGGTGATCCACCCACATCAGCTTCCCGAAGTGCTCACCAGCCCTTTTTTTCTTGATCAGCCTAGAGGCTTATCAATTTTTATTGCTAATTTCAAATGATGAATTTTTGCTTTTGTTGATATTTCTGTTACTGGTTTAGTTTCCATTTTATTGACTTTTTGTTGTTTCTTTCCTTTTGCTTATTTTGGGTTTAACCTGCTTGTCTTTTTCCAGCTTCCTAAGGCATAACTTTAAATCATTTATTTTTTAAGCCTTTCTTCATTTCTTTCTCTTTTTTTTTCTTTTGAGACAAAGTCTCACCCTGTTGCAATGGCATGATCTCGGCTCGCTGCAACCTCCATCTCCTGGGTTCAAGCAGTTTCCCTGCCTCAGCCTCCACATGCCACCATACCCGGCTAATTTTTATAGTTTTAGCAGAGACAGGGCTTCACTACTTTGGCCAGGCTGGTCTAGAAATCCTGACATCGTGATCCGCCCGTCTCATCCTCCCAAAGTGCTGGGATTACAGGTGTGAGCTTCATTCTGGACATTTGGATATATTCTATTTTCTCATAATGTCTCATTTCCCTCATGATTTCCTCTTTAACCAATGACTTACTTACAGCTTACTTACAATGAAGTACTTTGTTTATGGCCAGGTGCGGTGGCTCACACCTGAAATCCCAGCACTTTGGGAGGCCAAGGTGGGTGGGTCACATGAGGTCAGGAGTTTGACACCAGCCTGGCCAACATGGTGAAACCCCATCTCTACTAAAAATACACAAAATTAGCTGGGTGTGGTGGCGGGCGCCTGTAATCCCAGCTACTTGGGAGGCTGAGGCAGGAGGATCGTTTAAACCGGGGAGGCAGAGGTTGCAGTGAACCAAGATGGCGCCATTGCACTCCAGCCTGGGCGACAGGGAGAGACTCCATCTCAAAAAGTTACAGGTCATCTTTTTGCTCTTTATTTCTAATTTAATTCCATGTGGTCAGAGAACTTCTCTATATGATTTTGTTTCTTTTAAATTTATTGAGACTTACTGTATGGCCTAGCATATGGTTTAGCCTGGTGTATTTGAGAAGAGTGTATATTCTGTAGGTGGGTAACATGTTCTATAAACGTTGACTAGGACTGGGTGCGGTGGCTCATGCCTGTAATCCCAACACTTTGGGAGGCCGAGGCAGGAGGATCACTTGAGCCCAGCAGTTTGAGATTAGCCTGGGAAACATGGCAAACAATACAAAAAATTGGTGAGGCATAGTGGTGTGTGCCTATAGTCCCAGCTATCTGGAATGCTGAGACCGGAGGATCACCTGAGCACAAGAGGTCGAGGCAGTGAGGTGTGATCACATCGCTACACTCCAGCCTGCGTGACAGAACGAGATGCTGTGTCAAAAAAATAAGGCATTTTTAAAAATGTCAACGAGGTCAAGGTGGTTGATAGTGCTGCACAGGGCTTCAATATCACTTTTTCCTTTTTTTTAGACAAAGGCTCACTCTTATTGCCCAGCCTGGAGTGCAAGTGCCACAATCTCGGCTCACTGCAACATCCGCCTCCCGGGTTCAAGCGATTCTTCTGCCTCAGCCTCCTGAGTAGCTGTGATTACAGGAGCCTGTCAACATGCCCAGCTAATTTTTGCATATTTAGTAGAGATGGGGTTTCACCAAGTTTGCCAGGCTGGTCTCGAACTCCTGACCTCAGGTGATCCATCCGCCTCAGCCTCCCCAAGGGCTGGGATTACAGGTGTGAACCACTGTGCCTGGCCTTTTTTTTTTTTTTTGAGACACGGTCTTATTCTGTCACCTAGGCTAGAGTACAGTGGTGCAGTCTCGGCTCACCGCAACCTCTGCCTCGCAGGTTCAAGCAGTTCTACTGCTTCAGCCTCCATAGTAGCTGGGACCACAGGTGTGTGCCACCACGCCCAGCTACTTTTTACACTTTTATTTAGTAGAGATGAGGTTTCACCATTTTGGCCAAGCTGGTCTCGAGCTCCTGACCTCAAGTGATCTGCCCTACCTCGCTCTCCCAAAGTGGTGGGATTACAGGCGTGAGCCACTGCACCCAGCCCAGTCTTACCCTTTTAACGAGGCTGACAGTCTCTGCCTCGTTACATTTAATGGCTGGGGTTAAGTCTGCCTGGATTAATTACATATTTCTGGGATTCCATTTTTTTTCTCTGCTATTGAGATGTAGTTCTGCTCAGGCCCCTTCCTGAACCGCAGTCTGGAAAGCGCCTCCTGGTGGAAACTCATATTTGCTTCTCTCTGGTCACAGCCCTGCATGGCCTATTGTCCAATATCTAAAAATAAAATGTGCAGTTTTTAGGTGTTTACAGCTGGGGTCAGTTACTCCACCGCAGCCAGGTTAGCAAGTTTCTCCTCTCTTCACTCATAGTATCACTCCGCATGATCAATTTCTTCCTTGCTTCTGGATCTATTTTCTTTTCTTTCTTTCTTTCTTTTTTTTTTTTTTTTTTTTTTTTGTGAGACCTGAGTCTCACTCTGTTGCCCAGGCTGGAGTGCAGTGGCACAATCTCAGCTCATTGCAACCTCCACCTCTCGGGTTCGAGCAATTCTCCTGCCTCAGCCTCCTGAGTAGCTGGGATTACACGCCCAGCTAATTTTTGTATTTTTAGTAGAGATGGGATTTCACGATGTTGCCCAAGCTGGTCTTAAACTTTTGGTCTCAGGTGATCTGCCCACCTTGGTCTCCCAAAGTGCTGGGATTACAGGTGTGAGCCACTATGCCCAGCCTCTGAATCTGTTTTCATTAAACATGTCCTGGTAGCTTCCGTTCTTGAAGAATAAAAATAAAAAGTCATTTGACCCAACACTCCCTCCAGCCACAACCCTAATTCTCTGTTCCTCTTTCTGGCCACACTTCTCAGAATGCTTGTCTATTTCCTCACTTTCCCATTCCTTGTGAGTCCCTTCTACTCTGGTTCTGCCCCTGCCACTCCATCTAGTCGGTGTCTGTCCAGGACACCAGCCATCTTTGTGTTGCTAAATCCATTCCGTCCGCTCGGCCTTTTTCTTGCCGGTGCCCACTCCCTGGCCAGCTGCTTGTCTCCCATAAGCTGTGTACCACTGAAGTCTCTGCTCTTTCTCAGTGTGCTATGGGCTCTCTCTACCCAGCCCTACAAGAGATGAGTCTCCCGAGACATGCTTCTGCGCTCATCCCGATGGTCATCTTCCTCATTCCCATGGCCCTGTAGTGACAACTCTGAAGCGGCAGCCTTTGTCATGTTCTCTCCTCTGAGGCTGTGGCCTTCTGATTTCTCTCACAGCCACTGTAAACTTCAATGGCCAAGCCAACTTGGGATTCCTTTTCACCGTAAGCGTGCCACCTCACACGGGGACTCTCCAGCACCCACCCAGCTGCCCACGCCAGATCCTCAGAAGTTAGGGTTTTCTGAAACGTAGAAAAGTACACAAACTCTTCTATACGTACACGGCCATGTGGCAGCCACCACTTAGACCAACGTGTGAATCTGCTCCAGTTATGTCTTGATAGGTTCCAAACCACCCCAAGATGTAAGGGCTGAAAATAATGGCAATGTTTGTCTTGCTCGTGAGCCTTGGTTAGCGTGGGCCTGACAGCTTCGAGCTGGAACCAGCCAGCGGTTCCTTTGTGTCCACGGAAGGATGCTGATGGGGTGAGGACACCTCCGCGTGCTTCCTCCCTGTGCCTGCAGACCAGAAAGCCCAGCGGAGACCACGTCATCTGAGGGCCTGGCCTCGGGGTCAGGTGCCACTTCCGTAGCAGCCTGCTCCCTAGACGCAAGCCCCTGAGGCCAGTGACGCGAGGGGAGACGAACTGTAAGCCGCCTTTTTTGATGAGAGGAGCAGCAGAGAACATGTGGATGTGTGGAAAACCACCCAAGAGCATTCCCAGAAAGGTGAGAAACCCCAGAAGTTTCTCAAAGGACACAGTCATTCTCCTGGCTTATTATTTATTTATTTATTTATTTTATTTTCTTTGTTGAGATCGAGTTTTGCTCTTGTTGCCCAGGCTGGAGTGCAATGGCACGATCTAGGCTCGCCACAACCTCCGCCTCCCAGGTTCAAGCATTCTCCTGCCTCAGCCTCCCGAGTAGCTGGGATCACAGGTGTGCGCCACCACGCCTGGTTAATTTTGTACTTTTAGTAGAGATGGGGTTTCACCATGTTGACCAGGATGGTCTCGAACTGACCTC